AACCTTTTTACGGACGATGCAAACGCGACTACACACTTCTGTGCCGTTTGAAAATGGGTACTTTGCTTCGGGAACAACATAACTGCTGTCATGACGTGTCGGCAAGTATTCTCGAGTTTTGTTTCGACGTAGCTGTTCCACAAGCCCTCACGCGCAGGGTGACTGACATGATGAACAGGTCGCTATTCGGCGTCTGGAGCGGCACAGTTTCCACGGAGGCATTTACAATATTCAAGTACAGTCGTGCACCTCCAATTCGGCAGGGCGGACCATATCAACAGTGCCAGCATAAGTGCACAACATAAAGCAAAAAAACAAACGCAAATCCAGCGCACTGATATTTTATTTGTTAATTCAGTACCAAATATACGCCAATCTTCTGCATAATCTTGGTGTCAGACGCGCGAATCGCGGGCGCGCAAGAGCGCTTCCGGTCGCGATAGGCGTCCGGCAAGGCGGCAACTTCCGCGGACCGCTTAAAATTACTCTGGACGGTAGTGCGCTTTACCGCTTGGGGCCCCCAAGTTGGGGGGGTCTTAAAGCGCTCCGTTGCCCAATGAGCAAGTTCAGAGTGAGAGCATGCAGGATCTGACTTGTGCTTTTCGCACAAAGACTGCTTTTGTGTGACATGTAGGAGGAAGGGCGATGTCCCATTGTATTTGGCGGTAAAAATCAAAGTGTGTGTTTGTATGAAGACGTCCGATCCAAAATTTAAAATCAGATCGATGCGGCGTGTCATCCCTCGGCGAGGAGGGGAAAACCGTTGAGGTTAATTGCTAGGGTGGTGATGGGCAAAGGTAATTGCGCATCCGATTCGCGTAATCATAAAATCTGGCAGGGTATCAACTGATACCGGTGCCGAATTGCAGGTGCACGACTGTACTGCATGTGATTGTCAATTGAGTCCAGGTAACGCCCCACAATCGTTCGGAAGAGGGAATAGTGATTTCCGCCCAAATGGACACTAACAATGCGAAAATGGAGGTGCGCGATCCGCCGAGGGAAGGGTGCCCGAAGGTTCTGTCCCTGCAGCTACCAGTTCGCCTTCAGGATCTGCGTTCATATAGCCTATGCTCTACGAATGACTGCGAATGTTGATAGTCGCGAAGGGAATGTGCTTGTCAATCGCCACAAATACAAAAGTGGAGACGCAGAGGATACTCCGCAAGGAGGGCGGCCGAGGGTAGTTTGTCCAGCGCTGACTTTGTTGCTGCCCAGCATCTGGTAGCTTGCAGTTAAAACTGTACGGGTGGGTCACGGCATTTGGATTCATATTTTCAGACAGCTTAGACCTGAGGGATTTGCCTGATACTGTTCAAGAGCTCTCATTTTGTATTTCCATTGAATCAAAGGAAGCCTTAACAGTATAATAATGTTTTTGTTCGTTGTACGCAAGAATATGTACTTATCTTGATTACCTCACGAGCCTTGCATCATACAATAGTTAAAAGAAAGTTTAATACCACGCTAAAGGTAATCGTGCTTCTTACAGAGTGCTGGTCATTTTTATTTCCCACAATTATTGTGATCACCAGCCATTTGGGCCACGCGAAATGCAGCCGAAAACCCAGCTTCTAACAGATTAGAAGTAATATAAATATGATATTCCGCACAATCAAATCACCCTAAATCAGAGCATAAATTGGAGTCAAGTGTTGTTAATGGGAGTTCGCCTATGCCGTTTATCGACTGGTAAAGGGCTTGGCATAGCAACACCCGACTGCACTCTATGTCAGAGTGGCGGTCGTGGGCTGGGCCTTGGTGGATTAGCCTTTGGTACGGTGAAGGAAGTACCAATTGTCCTCAATGACCTGAATGTTTGGGTTAGATGAACTTGCGCACCGCGGTGTCGCTCGCAGCTCTCGCCATGAGCAACGTGGCTGTGCCGAACATAAGGCACAGCCCGGACTTTGGTGTGGCAAGGCTGAGAAGGGCCTGCCAGTTCAGGTCAATGGCGAAGCATTGATGGGTCATGCTCCCACCTCCGCCATGCCTTGTCTAATACAGACCGCCAGGACGCAGAAGCGTCACGGAGTTGTCGACGCGCAGACAGCGCTGCGTACATCAAGGCCATGCTCCGCTGCGGCTATGCCACGGGCATGGGTCTTTTGCCCGGCGTGTGGACCCGCTACACCAGCAGCGTCCAACACCGAAGGTCGTCGCGTCGTACGGGCTTCGACAGTAGTTACACCTATAAGCGCGCACCAGGTGAGTAACTTAGGACCACACGGTCGCCCAGACCATAACTGAAGAGGAAGACGCTGGATGCGCTTCCTGTATCGGTGACACAGTACCACACGCAGTCGCCCAGACTATAACTGAAGAGGAAGGCATTGACTCTGCTTCCGATGTGGGTAACATAGTGCCACACGAGGTCTTGAGTGCCTCTGATGTCGTCAATGAGACATCACGACGTAGGTAACGAAGTGTCACGTCACGTTAGCCGCCACAAGTCGGGTCTGAACCTTGTTCAGGCCGACGTCGCTTTAAGTGACTCGGAGTTCAAGGCCCGGACTCCTCTGACTCGGTCGGTGGACACCAACGCTGTCCAGTGTGTGTGCGGGTCTGCCACACCAGCCGATCCCAACACCGAAGGTCGTCGCGCCGTATGGGCTTCGACAGTGGTGGTGCTGAAGGGCATTCACCAGGTGGGTAACATAGGTCCATATTGCGGGTAACAAGTTCCGCAGGCAGCGAAGCTGCTTAAGGGGACCGACATTCGGTGCTTCGAGGGTGGGTAACAGAGTTCCACGCAAGGTCACTCAGACCATAACTGATAAGGAAGTCGCTGTATGCGCTTCCGGTGTGGGTAACATAGCTCCACAACCAAGGCGGGTAACATAGTTCCGCACAGTGCTGGATGCCTTCGGTCGGCACGGCCGACGCGGCCGTCCACCCCGACGCAGTGAACGAGGCGGATATCCGTCGTGCCTGCCAGTGGCTATCCCAAGCCTCGCAAGACTTAGTAGTCGCAAAGTTAAGTGGGGGAGAGGCTCGGAAATACCTTTCTTGTCTGACTTTCTACGAGGCAGGTAGCTGTCGTGCTGACAGCGGCTATCACAAGGCACGAGAGACCCAATGGTCTCAAATTTAAGTGTGGGAGAGGCTCGGAAATACCATTCCTCCCCGGTCTTGAGGTAAGACCAGGTTCCTTACGGATCGAGGCGTCGATGTACATCGACTGCATCGACGCTTGGGTCTTCCACGCCGTTTAGCACTTTTGGCTATCACAAACGACCCAAACTGCAAAGATTACGAAGCGATGCTACTGATATGCCGCCGCTTTGACAATCGTGCTGCATAGAAAATCGCTTTTGTTGGGCAATTTGAATCGATGGTTAGTGCATCGGCGACGTGATGGGTACACCAAGTGTCACTATTACAGAGTAATGAATCGGGTGTGTCTGTAGGTACCCATAGATACTTATGGTTGTTCAGATGTGAATTGCGTCGAGGGTAGATCGTCTGTGGATTCGCACGTACGTTCATGAGTTGGGTCTTCCTTTTCCACGAAAGCAAATTCAACATTTTCTCTATCATCCACATGCATAGAGACCGGATGCGTCAGCTGAGAGAGCGGGCCAATTCAGTGTCGTTCTCAATCAACGAAAGGGTCCCCATCATCCTTGAATATCACCTCTAATTGCGGTAGCACCTCCAGCATCTCTTTACCAACAACGGTGCCATTTCTGCTCATGAGATCGGCGATGATCATCCCGCGTTCAGCGGTTTGCTTGTATTTGGTAGTGTCATTAAGAACTTGATGGCACCTCGCCGTCATTATGGACTCCCGTATCTGGAAGATTGTGCTTGTTGCCTTGTTATTGGTCGCATCTTCTTCTCCAACGGGTTGATTTTAAAATTTCATATAAAGTTTATTGCTATTTTAACTTCCACGAGACTTTTCACCTTGGCGAAATGTATCGTGTAGGGATGGCGGTCCTCTTCATCAACCACCAGTACATTACGTGTCGGCATGTTAGAAGCGTCGTTCTTATGAACACACACGAACACCGATATCGCAAATGGGTAGCAGATATTACCAATAGCAATAAAAAGAGTTAGTAATCATCAAGTTTTTTTTTAGGAGATTGGCGCCAATGGTTAGCCAATTTCTCGCGATTACGCATTACCGTCCGAGCGACGAGAAGCCCTACGTACACACAGAGGTCGTGCCGTAAAATGGGCTTTACCGAAAGGAAAGCTTGTCGTACATCGCGGTGAGTCTGTATCTCTTGGCTGGCGTCACAGGCTTCTCAGATGTCTTGGCCTGCCGTTCCCTCGGTGAAAATACTCGTCCACTCTCTAGTCAAGATGTTCGATACATGTAGAAATTGCTGTACTCGGAAATGTGCTGCCATATTGACACCGGAATGAAGAGAAAGAAAAGTGATATAGGAGAGCCACCTTTCTTCAGCGAGCTTCAATTAGTCCGTGCTAATTCTTCAAAGATCTGGATACTCGTCACCATCCGATACTGGGGTGTAAGGTGTTTGCAAGATTTTGTCAGCATCAGGACTTACTGTTTCATACCACCCAGCTATCGATATTTCCTTCAAGGCAGGACCGAGTATGTCACCAGCCAAAACGTTTTCTTCACCACCCATTCTCCAAAACAAAATGATCTGCAAAACGGCGGCTAAGACTTCATCATCATCCTCGTCATGAGTGTCTGCAACTGAATTTTCAGCGTCACTTCCATCCCGGCGCCTTCTTCAGATTCATCACCGGAAGCCAGCACTTGGTATTTGTAGTCATCGTTACGATACGTAATTGCCTCGTCAGCATCATTTCCAGATAAAGCAATCATTGATGCATAAAATACTGTATATGATACGGGTTAGACTCAAAATGTATGCAGTATATACAGCATAAAATGAACAACGTACGATATGTAGCGCCATGTTCGGTGTTGCTTCTTTCCTCACTTCTTGATGAATCCGCTTGCTCCGGTCCATCGTCACCCGACCTCGCTAAACTTCTTTTCTTGTTCTTATTCGTCACTGGTGCTTCTCCAGTTGTATGAGAAGACAAAGCTTGGCTTCTATCGGGTTCTACATAATTTAGCACATCAAATATGATCCAGTATAGGATATACAAATTAGCATGAATAGACAAAATGAGAATTTTGTAACATACCTGTTGGTGACGCCAGCCTTTGGTGACGCAAGTCTTGGGGGTGGTCGAATTTGGGAGGTGCTTGCAGGAGATGCACTTGCTGTCAAGTCTGTATCATACAGTACAGTTAACCAGGATATACAAAATTGCACATACAGGTTAATCTTAAATTGATGCAGTGTACCCAAGCACCAGTACCACGCGGGCTTTCATGTACTGCTGACTGAGATGCAGGCATTCGCTCGTGACTTGGACGACGACTTCCTCGATAATGACTTGGTCAACGGCTTTCTCGCAGGGGACTTGGACGACGACCTCTTCTTCGCAGGTGGCTTGTGCACAGACAAACAAAGCTCGGCAGTCGGTGGAAGTTGTGCAGTAGCCGCTTTTGCGGCTTCGACTGCTGCTGAGGCGAGGACCCTGTCTATAGCTGGCTGCTGGCACACTGCACATGCGACACATGTCATTATAACACAGACAACACAACAATATACAAACCACCTTACTTGTCATAGCGTTGTCCACCACAGCTTGCTCCCCATGGACGAAGTCGATGCCAACAGTGTCACTGGTATTACCACCAGCAGAATGTACTTCCGTCGCGTCTCGATTCCGCGAGTAGGCGGGCGTATTGGACGTCCATCCCATTTTCTTGAACTCCGGCCAGATAATACGGAAGTGGTTTGTCCCGCGCTCTTCCTCCGGTACTGCCGCCGCGTCTTCACGTGGAGTGCTGCCACGCGTTCCCACCACCGCTAACCCCCCCCCCCCCCGCGCTTAATCTCAACTGACTGGTCTGGGCGATTTGGAGCGAACGTTACCTCTAAAAATCATTTTTTATTTTTTAATGATTGTTTCAAACTGTCAGATTACATACCGAAAATCGTGAAAAAAAGAGTGGTACTGCAACCCTTCACATCTGTATTAATAGAAAGGCGATCAGGCTCTTTTCTTGCAGCAAACCGTTATAGAAAAATTTGTTTACTGAAGGGTGTACAAACGGTAGGACCATAGTGAAATCAAGTTTATATTTCCCTATGCTGTATATTCAGCATAAGCCCTCACTAGCGCTCTGGGCGCCCGCTCCGCGGACGCTAGGGCATGGTTGGTTGGTGTAGAGAGGTGGGCTTAGAATTTCTACTTAGAGCGAATCTACATATAATATTTGTTTACTGTGATCTACTTATGTTACGCTCCAAAACAACACCGTACACAATATCCTTATCGCTCTCATGTTATGCCCCACTGTCCGCCTCTGGAGCGTGTACCGCTATCATTTCTTAAAGTCACTTTTGGAAACATCACATATAAATATGAAGGCGTGACAGCTGCATGTTACAGATAGATACCCGCGTGATAGATCTAGATCGAATGCGTATTGTTGATCGTCATAGTAAAGGTAGACATGACCTGGGTTTAACGTGATCCGCAGTATGTGCACCATCTTATCCTGGAAGGTTTTGTCTATAATCTCGTTTGAGCGCATTGCTCCCAAAATGACACGAATCGGAGGCGCGCGTGGTTGCAAAGCTAATATATGCTGTACGGAAGACGGGTCAGTATCAATGATGCTACGAAATATGCATAGATCGGTGAGGAATCCCAGTGTAGCTAGAGTAAATACGCCTACTCACACATATTACCCATCTGCACGTCATCGCCGTGAGGCAGTCGACACATTTCATCGATTGCGACGGTCGAATAGAGCAATGTTAATCAGCTCAGCGCGCGAAGTATCTTTTAGGATATGTAGTATTTGCCGATGGTCGCCACAAACATCAATATTTGAAATTATTCTGCTGAGCTGTTTGTGATGTTACTGAAGGGTATTTCCACTATATTCCGCATGCATTTATCTAACTTGCATAGCTGACGTACTTTCTGACTTATTTGTATAGCTACTGACTGATAGAGTGGCGTAAATCCTTTCCGACTGACATTATACTGGGTCCGATATGTACGACAAAAGGCCTCGTCCAGATCGGACGAAGAGGCACCACTGCGTGCACATTCTTTTGACCGGCTGCAACATACGAAGATATATGGCCGTAGGCAGAGTATCAGATCGTAGTGATGGTTAGACTTGAATTGAATAATAGTTCATGTACATTAGATGGAGTACTTTCGCTGCCTACTTATCAGCTCGGCGTGCTATTTGATGTGTCCGTGCATATATCGCAGGGTCGTTAATGAATGTATTTGCCACGCACTCGTGATAGCCTAACCTATGTATGGGGTCACTGTTTCTTTATCGGGACTTTGGCGTCGTCGTGCTAGCTTTCTGTGCTTACGCTATTGATGTATCAGTCTGTATAATCAAGCGCGTCACTAACTGGGCACAGGCCATTCCGCAGCGATACATGTATACTGAACGCGCGTCTCTTAGCAGTAGCCAACGCGATATATACGCGCGAGGTGGGTACACCTTATAGTCATCCGCGACTCAACCGAGCTCTCATCTCGGCCATTATGAACAGGACACTAAAATACAATATTGCGTTCAGACACATCGACTTGCCACGTTCATCTGTACGGTCTGCACTGTTACGCACTGGTAGTATCTATGCCAACAGCAGCTTATTCGTCGCACGTAGTTCCCACTCAATACTGTAGCTGAAATTTGTGAGCGCCAATTAGTGAAATATACGCTATAAGAGCTGATGGTACAGATAGCATGATTTAGCGTGTGCCCATGTGAGCGAGTGTACGTGCCATCTACGGTGACGCGTATGCAGATAGGAACCACCAATTTGCAGCGGTGCACAGTTGATTCCATGTCTAATTATTTTTTAAAGCGCGCTCCGCTCTGTAGGTGCGTCAACACCATAGTCAGCTTACCGTATGTGCGGCCCCAAACCCCGCACCGTCAGTCAGTATACAAACCTATACGGGGTAAGGGGCTATAAGAATGTATATCCAAATCACCTGCTCTTCTGCTACTTCTTTTGCTCGATGTACTTGACGTTTCGGGCGGTCAGCATGCGATGGCGGCTGCGCCTCTTTTTCTTCTTGGGGTACCAGTCAGGACCCATCGCTTTCTTGACGTTTGCCAGGCTTTTCTGGCGGCGCACTTTGGTCGAATCAGGTGGTGGAAGCTTTTCCTCCCAGAACTTAACCGCTTTTGGGCCGTTCTTGCAGGCAATACAGTGTCGCACGCTGCCCCGTCCGCTGATTGTACGGAACGCGTAGCCGTACTGCAGCTTCCCGCAGCAGACGCAGCGCGCCCGTGCATCCGTCGTAGACCGCTGCGGGTTCAGCAGAAGCGGGTCAATCTTCACTCGGCCCACCATTTTGCAAACTGTGAGTAAGTTAGCAACATATATTGTTTTAACCAATTACTTGCGTCTAAATATTAGCCAATAGCACGGTAATGTAAGGCTGGTATTTATTATTAAGCAACATATTAAAATGTTTTAAATATTACTATTTTGCTTTAATAGTAATACTATCGGATTTTTAAACAAATACATACTTTACATGCAATAAAAGTGACTAAAAGGCTATGTACCGTGCGCGCATGCATTCATCAGGTGTGGTGCACGGGAGCAGATAGCGAAATGCCCGTGCAGCCGCGCGCCTTCATTGCACGGTGGCAGTGGTGAGCGCCAAGTGAAGTAAGAAATATATATTTCGCAAAGTCCCTAGCGCTGGTTGTGAAGCCTACTTTAGTATTAAAAAAATACTATCGTCTCTACTTTTGAAAGTCTGTGGAAAATAGCATCGCCGAGCTCTTACCAATGCGGCCTGTGAAGCTTATATTAATAATTTTAATAGTATTAATATCGTCTTTACTTTGAAAAGTGTGTGGAAAATAACATCGCAGGGCTCTTACAAAATACTGGTATGTGAAGTCTACGTTAATAATAATAAATATTTTATTTGAGAAGTGTGTAGAGCTCTTAGAAAATAAAGTGGTTACTGTGCCCGATTTGCAGTACATACGACAGGTTTTGCGCAATAATCAAGTATCTGCGCAGCTCGCCTGGCCGTTTGCAGCCAATCGATGTGTTTCATTCTCGGCAGAAATGTTTACCTTACGTCCAATCGCGAGGGCGAGAGGCGGTCTGATCGTGCGACAGATCCAGTCAGTGTCGCAGGTCAGCAGGTATTGACCAATCAGGGCGCGAGTTAATTGCGTCACGCTTTTGAATATATTTCTAATTTTGGCATAGTTAGGTCGAGTCAGAAAGGTAGGCGCGGTCGGTAAGATGGGAGGAAACTGTATTAGACAGGCCGAGTGTAGCCATGCGGAAAGGCAGGAAAAAGCAGCAAGAAAGGAACCGGACGGACTTATTGACAGACGGACGGACAGGCTGCAAGTTTAGGTGGCGGGAAATAACCGGGGCATCTTTTCGAACCCCGGCGCAGCTTATACAGCTAACGGGCTGAAGGGGTTTACGATTTAAGCTCAAATTGGGATTACGCGCACCATCGTAAAGCTGGGCGTCTGTACTCTATTATATAGCCTTCATTTTACTTTTAAAAAAAACTTAAGTAGAACAAAAGTTCTGGTCGATTGAAAAAATAATCTCGGAGCTGGCATGGCTTAGACAGACACCATTTCTGGTCTTTAATGAACTAGAAGCTACGGAGAAGCGGACAGATGGTTTCCGGCCGCTCAACGGGCACTAGAACTACTTGAAATGGGTGTCTGAAGTTTGGGTTTCACCACGATTTGAAACTTAATTTTCGGCGCCTCCAAGGTCACTTGAAGCGCATTGGATGTTTCGTTTTCCCTTATCTGGACCAGATTCGTTCTGTTACCACTTCTCCATTGTTATCTGCTGACGTTCCTGTGTCGATTGATTCCAATAAGGCTTGTACAGTGAACTACGTGCGTGCCGCGCCGTCACTCTCCCTCCGCCGAACGCGTTTTACGTTTTGACCATTTTCTCCGCTCCCAATTAGATATGAAAAAATGAGGGCTCTTCTAAAAGGCCCTAGCTAAGAACCTTAATAAAGGCTTAGCGATCACCTCGTTTCGAATGGACTCAATGCAAGCAGTGTAGGATCTTCGACGCGCCTGTCTGAGGAGTGATTGGCGTGCCAGCGCAGCACTAAGTACCAGAATCGACGTGATGCCAGGTCAGCGTGAAGGCCAAAGTCACGTGAAATGATGCTGAAAATTACAACAGGTACATGGTGAGAGTGGCTGATTTAAATTTCACTCACAGCCACAAAGTCGCGAAGGCAACCCAAATCTCTCGGTTTGTCGTCTGGCCCGGCATCGACGTACGCTGACGGAATACTAGATGCGTTTGCTCTTGGTACTGATTCATGTACGAGCGGGACGCATCCCAGTCTTTATGCCAGTGGCGGGCACTCCCACGTGGCACCCGGGGGGACTTGACGCTCAGGCTCGCTGTCACTCATGTATGTATGACAATGCGTCAGACATGTACCGGTTCGCTAACGAGCGATCTTGGCGGCTCCTACACGACTACAAACAAGTCCAGAGTAATCCATCGTTGACCACGCTAGTTCACGTCGAGAGTACACTCAACACGGATGTGCAGAACTACCCAGCCTGTGCGATTGAATATTTTGACGAGGGCATTTTGTTTTCGTCTGGAGTATTTCCGCACTTCAAAACACAAGGCTGGTGACGTGAAATGGTGTTTGCGCACACTTAAGTGTGCCGTTCACGACACATGGAATGCTCCGTTTGAGCCTGAGTTTGTAATGATAGACAGGGATAAGGTGGAGCGTAACGCCTGTACAGTAAATTTCCTAAAATCTTGATGTTTTGATATCACGCCACGGACAACGTTTATAAGCAATTGCGTGTCTGTGCTGTAGCGGGATCAGCAAACGCTGCGAGAATGCTGGATCCGAGTTTCCATTAGTACCCAGACACCGACTAACGGAGGGGTCCCCCGATGATTCGTGGTCTGCCGAACTTTTCCTCACCTTGTGTACCCGTCGGTAGGGCGGGATCTTGCTACTCTGGCTACTGCACAGAAGTTCCAGTGGTGGAAGCTTTAGCGTCTTGGCGAGATGCGGGGATGGGATGGAGTTGTAGTGGAAGATCTTCACTCTACATCCGATGTAGGGTCCAGATCACAATCGAGTCAATCGAGCTTGTACGAACTGGCGGTCTTAATCTGCGATCCGACTGTATGGTTGCCTTGCGGGTGTGCTCCCTTATTTTTGAGTTTCTTTTCGTCGAACTTGCCGCTTCCTATAGCGGGATCTTGAGAGTTGAGAACTTCTTAGGTATACCCGACCAAGTAGTAAATTCGGTTAACCTTACGCGTCTGCACTTGTATGAGGAAAGATCACTCGGTGGTATGATCTGGCCAAATTTTATCCAGCTATCACTATCAACACTAGATCAGCTATTCCCAGTTTTCACCGACCTCGTACGGTCATTGTAGCTCCGATTCTTGAGGCAGGAAGGCACTTGCGATGCACGAAGCAAGTAGAGCTCTGATTTAAAGCTGAGCCTACACCAGCCTGGATATATATCCTCTCTGTCCTTTACTCACTAGATCCTTTGCCAGGCGTGTCTACTTGTCCTTTCTGCCCCACTCACAACCTCCGTCCCGATTCGTGATCCCTGGATCATGATCGTCGTGTTTGGACCCACACTATCACCAATCCAGAACAGTGTCCAACAATCACTCCCCGTCTTTTTATTTCTTGGA